AATTAAATATTCATATTTTCATTGAACAATATTACCAATGTGAATGCCTTATTTGCGATAAAGCTATTATTATTATTTTGACGACTTGATCGGCAGTACGCACCCACAGCAACGTTTCGGACCCAGAACCTTCTGGTTACATGGCAAGCTCGTATAACATTCAGCCACTGGAACCCGATTCGATGACCAGCCCATGAATTCTAACTTCTACCAATTCGTGATTTAGCGCGACCCCAACCAATGTCGTTGGTGGGACATCCATCCTCACACGTGACATCTGGCTGAACCTCACTGGTCACGACTTCTCACTAGAACTCCAAGAAACTCTGTCCTATAGCAGGTCACTGGAAAGCATCAGATTAAATTTCAATAGTTGGTTTGTAAGGATACTGCTGATGATTCCCAAACTAGGATGAAACAGCAGCTGTCCAGTACTCCCTGGTTTTCAATGGTTCCCTAATTGATATCAATCCGTGATCAACTCGTAAAAACAAATCTAATCCTTACATACCAACTATTGATATTATTATTATTATTAACATTGTATGTTCGACATTGTTTGTTCTGTCACTGTGCGTCGGTGGCACGGCGGTTATGACTCTCGCCGATCATGCACATGGTCCAGGATTCGATCCCCCGCCGACGCACACCGATATCATCTATGGTTGGCCTGCAAAATTTAGGCTACCGATATCACATGCTGAAAATTCCATACCTGTACCGAAAAAACGGTGTGGAATCAAGTTGTAATAAAAAATTAAATATCAAAATAAAAACAAAATGTTTAATTGTGGTTATATTCATAGACATTTTGAATCGCATTCCCCACTAATATATATCAACATCATTATTTTAAGTATTCACACCTTTCCTCGCAAGATAAAGTTTCTCAAAAAATCAGCTTGATAGTAAATCTGTTCAAGAGAATCTCTTCTTTGAATATTATCTTCCAAAGATTGTGATATACATCCCAACCGCTATACAACACATTTGGTGAGTATCTATCTGTTAGTCTATCTCCCCATGTATACCCTTCAGTTGATCCCATTTCTTCATGACCTTACCATGAGTTAATAAAATAAAAATTGTATGATAATATAAACTTGAAAAGACATTGAAGAGCAATGGGTACCCTCAAAGGTTCATCAGCAAATATGGAAGATCTGAAGTCAAAAATGTAAAACAAATCACAGTGGAAAAAAAGCCAATCTGCTTTCAGCTTGATTATAAAGGTGAAAACATTACAGCGATGATCAACAGAAGGCTGAGTACATCACTAGCTATAGCCTATCCTGCAGCTAAGCTCGTTCCCATCTATCAAACAACTTGCTCTTTGGTGCAATCAAAAATCGATAGATATCCTTCTCATGTGAACTCCAACTGCATATACAAATTTACATGCATCTACGGGAGCAGTTACATTGGAAGGACAGAAAGAAGGGCATATCTACGATTTTCTGAACATGTACCAAAAAGCTTACGTCTAAAGGGAACAAATTCTTTAAACAGTGCCATCGCCAGGCATCTCCTCGACACGGGTCATGAGGTGGAAATCGAGAAATCCTTTGAAATTATCAATAGACAAAGGAGCTCCATTCTCCTCAAGTTTGCTGAAGCAATTTCTATCAAACGCTTCAAACCAGATTAATGTGTTCAGAAAGAAGCAGTTATTAGTCTTTCCTTGCCATGGTAACTGGATGTCTTTATTCTCTAATCTGATTATGTAATCTTTGTCTTAAACCTCACCCCCCTCTTTTTAAAAAAAAATCTGTAATATTGCTTGTCTCTTGTTTCTATGATGTGATTTGAACTCAGTACATCGTTACCAAATTTATTAGTTACTCATCATCTTACTCACCTCTCGTCTTTATTACATAACTCCTTTACCATTGTATGCATACATCTATTTTGTTTAAACTTGAACTGCCTGTGTAAAACTATATAAGCACAATTTTCTGAGCACTTTTCACTAATTGTGGAACTTTCTGTCAACTGACAACATGTAAAATTTGCAAGTATGTTAAAAACTTTTCTGTACGTAAACCTCACAATTTATTTAGGCTGTAAGCAGCAGCTGATGAGAAGCCGACGAAATAAATGATGGTACCATATTATTCTGCACAAACCACTGTGTTGTTCTTGCTTTATTTAAATAATATAAACTACTTAATTATATGAGTAGTGGGAAATCAGTATTATTTATTAGATGACGTTTCATTGTCATAGCAACTGTGCAATTCTCTTTTTCCTTCCCATTCGTCGTAGAAAGGGTAGTAGAATTTTCCAGATACCAGGGTGCATAGGTGTTAAATCATTCTTATAGGGAATATCTTAAGACATCAGTAGTAGTATCCTCCCCCATACAAAGAAGGAACCTCTGAAACCTTACCTAGAATTCTTAATAATAACCCAGGAATATAAAACTGGTACTCAAACTGTCCACAAAAACTCACATGGCAACGAATTATGTCCGTTAAGAGATCCTGTGGAGCCCATTAAACATAACAGTATGCTTTATCTAATACGCTTCAATGTTTGTGAAGTCAGATACATAGACCAGATTGAGAGAATGAGATCATTTAGATTAGTGGAGCATAGAAACGTAGCAACCATACAATAGGATGGGATAAGATAACGGTATCAGAATCTAATATAACAAGGGTTTTCGGAGAGATTGATAAATGAACCTGTTTATCGAATCGACTGAGAATATATGCAGTAGGAATGATTCAACACCTGTTTTGGGTATCTGAAAAATTCTACTATCCTTACAGCAAACATGAAGGAATAAAGAGAATAATAAAAGTCAAGTTTCGAAGTTGTGTAATAACAATTGATATTATTGTGAACCGTTAATTATGTTTGAAACTTTGTCATCCTGTAAAGTATACAGTTTCATACTTTGTGCGGTATATTCAGTAAGCAAATCAATTTAGAATCAGAAACTACCTCACTGACCACGTTATACGCATTTATTAATATGCGTATATGTTAACAAACATGATTACATAACTAATTTGACAGTCAGATACCAAAGTAAATTATACTGAATAACAATATATATATATATATACCAAGCGAGATAATTACGAAGAAATTAAGAAAATCAGTTCAAAGAACTTTTAATGCTGGCGAACTACACGTATTATTCTCTACACGACCGATGGTGCTACCTCGACTGAAAGATGAAGTACCTAGACTAGCTAGTCACTTCAAATTGTATCTATCAATTCAACTGCGCTTGTGGTGGAGCGAGTTATATTGGCCGTTGCTCTAGGAACTTGATTTTTCGTGCTCGCTCGGGAGCATCTCCCACTATGGCTAAGTAAAGGTGTAGTTGAAACTATTAACAACTCGATATTAGACCATCTGGTGCAAACCGGCCACAAAGCCATCCAGCCAGCGTAGAAGAATCCTTCTCTATCATCTACCGGGTGCCTAATAAGTTGTCAAAATCGTCGAAGCACCGCATGACAGAAAAAACAGCAGAGGCTATTACAATTCATCTCAAATAACCAGTGCTATGTGTGCGAAAGAAACAAGTCCAGCCCCTACTACTACCTTGGCCAACCCTCAGTAGAAACTATAAACTCATGAATTTGTACTATTATCTTTCATAATTCTTCTGACATTCAGCTTATTTTATGTTGATGCTGTTCAGCTGTAATCTATCAATATTATTGATTTGATGTTATTTAAACAACATTAATGTCGTTCATAAAACTAAATCATTCATTATAATGTATATAGAATTGTAGAGCGTGATGATGAATTTATCGAAAAGAGTATTCCTTGTTCCAAGTCCATTCTTTTGAAAATATACATATATGTAGAACCGGAAGATGAAATTACCAAAAACCATGATTCTGTGTTATCAGATAGTTGAAGGCACTTGGTGAAAAACCCTATGTCGAGATTCTATGCTCGTTAGTACTTGTCAGCAAGGTGTACCTAGACTCTTGACAGAACTAATCTTCCCCCTAAACCTGTTTATACAGTTCAAATCTGCACCACTAAGTGTTGTAGTCGAAAGCCTTTTTTTTTTCCTTCACGTTACGCAGTGGAACATAGGGCTTCAAGCTAGAGGCTTGAAATTTCTGTAGCAGTGTATATTTTACAGGATGGGGTTGCTAGCCTCATGCCCAACCTTTCCTCTTCACCAACATTATTTCTGGCTTAGCAAGGTGAAGAAGTGCCTCGGCCGAAAGCCTTACTTTTGAAGTATTTGCACTAACCTTTGACCCTTTGCACGATTGTAGTGGATGCATCGATTAGTCACTAGAGTGTAATTTATGTCATATGTCTAATATTTGGTTGTGGTGTTGAATAATAGAAACTTCATGATATTATCGATCCAGTGTTTTTCAGCCCTCAAGTTTTAAAAAACATTCCCAGTATTAAAGGCCAAAATCAATGTCAGCTGATATAAAAAAATAATAAAATAAACCTTTACTAGTTGATTACAACTCAAATAGATATATACCAATCAGACTGAGTTCTCCATCGAAAATACCAATAAATAATAAATTCAACCCTGAATAGGCTGTCTAGTATGATATCGAACAGCCACAGATAAAAAGTCAACAGGAACATTCGCTCAGGTATCTTCCTGAGTAGTAAGAGTTAAATTAACTTCAGCGTAGATTCCGTCACCAACCGACAGACTATTAACAAAATAGCTGAAGACCAGGGAGCAATGGACACCTATTTCGTCCTACTTTGAAATTGTTCATCACGTATAAATTGACGGGAATGCAGATTTGCAGGTCAATGGATTGTTAATCCTATAACTGAATAGTCAGTGGGATCTCCGCGTAACCTGAAGGGCCTGGTTCCATCCCTGAGATGAGACTGTGGATGCACCCTATCAAAAAGATTCCCAGTACTCTCTGGCATTCAATGATTCTCTTTAATAACCTAACAGTTTGGTCACAAAACCCATCTATACTACTGAAATAATATAACAACATTAAAAATCACTGAATAAATCGTTCACTTACTAACATGCAGCTGTTTCCAGGACACTGATATACACACATTTTATAGCATTATAACAATAAGTTTCATACTGTCCAGTACAATTCTCATATGGTCGTCCATTGAATTTGTTCAATCCAAATGGTATTACCAGAGTTTCTTCCACTGTCAACGAGATAGCTCGAATATTTAATGACGGTTTCATTGAATGTGTATAGATATCTGTTTGTCTTATGTCTGCTGTAGTAGTATCAGTGAATGTTGGCAGTGTCGACGATGATTGTGGTGGTGGTGTTGTATTCTCCTGTAGTTCCTCAACTTTACCATCTACCAGATCAGATGTAGGCATGGCATCACTGAAGGCGGTTGGTATATCCGTTGTATAGGCGGCGGATTCGAACAAAGGAAGTGGTATTGTCTCCCCCTTCGTGTCTACCACCACTCCTTTTTCTTCTTTTTCTACTTCTGATTCTGCCGATGAAGACGAAAGTGATAAGGAGATACTGTTTGCCCCATCTGGGGCTACTGTACCACTGACTTCATCTCTTTTTAATTCATGATCAGCTGAAATACTGGGAACTTCATCGGCAATATTCTTTGAAGATTCCGCATCGTGAAGTTGACTGACAACCTCCAGATCACTGTCAACATCATCTTCATGGTTCTGTAAGAAAGGATTCTCTTCTCCACTCATTTGGGCGAACAGATTTGGTTGTGGAGTGGACACAGACAATAGTGAAATATTGTCAATAATGCTGTCATTCCCCGTAATCGAATTAAACACATCAGGAGTAGCAGTAGTCGTTGGCATCTTAGTAACAGTGGGTACAGTCACTGTTTGACTTTTAGTATGTTTAGATAAAACACCATTAACCAAATCTTGACTAAATCTAGCTACATCTATCTTATGCGTATTATCAAACTTGATTGATTTCTGTCGACTATCATTATTATTATTCGTCCAGCTGTCAAAGTGATTATTGTCAACATTATCCTCCACATCACCGTCATTTTCATGAGCATTTTCGCTATGCTTTTCCAAAATATTCAACTTGTGTATCTCGCTAGGTAGCCTCAAAGCGTCGTCATCATCATGTTCATCCCCGTGATCATTAAGATGTATTAGCAAGACGTCTGGAATTCCTGGATCATCATGTAACACTTCAACTGTTGAATCATTTAAATCAAATGGCTTAGTTGCTGCCGGCGCTACACCCTCTGCTGGTGACGACTCTGATGGTGTTAAGGATTCATCGAATGAAGATCTTCGGTATCGTTTCAAGTGTAACTCATCAGCTGCATGATTCCCGTCTAAATGTGCTGTATTCCTAAGTAGATGAGCTTTTAACTGAGTTGTAAACAATTGGATTTTATAAATACATGCATCTGTATAACAGTTGTACCTTGATCGAATATCGCGTTCTTCTTTCACTAATTGTAACAAACGTTTTAACCAGTCAGAACGTGTACGTATTACATTCATATATTTATTCACTGTACGTTGAACAATCATTTCAATAAATGTAAATGTTGTCCCACTTCTTTCATTATTGTTATTATTATTATTACTGTTTTCATTATTTGTCTCAGTATTTGGAAATCTATGATACATTCTAATCATATTTGATAAGGACTTCAATAAGTCATCATCGTTGATATTATTCATATCATTATTGTCAGTATTGCCTTTATTCGCATTGTTTAAATGATCTCTTAATGTGTCAAGTCTATCATGTTCAATATGTTCAATGTCACCAATCCGATTGTTATGGTGATTATTGTTATTATTATTATGACTGTCCAGTGAGCTTTCAGCTTCTTTTTTCATTCGAATTAACTCTGGATTTAAAACTGACGAATCAATATTTATTGATTGGTTCGATGTATTATTTATCTCATTATTATTATTGTCATTATGCGATTGAACATTAAATATTGAGCATAAGATTAACAAAATACAAATTAAATATTCCTCTGAACATGTTGTTTGTGCGCAACATTTAAAATATATCATGTTATATTATTATTATTAATATTGTTATTGTTATTATTCAGTTAAAATAGTAAGAATAAAGTTGAAAAATAACTGCACATGTGTACAAATATATATATAAGAAATAAAATAAAATAAATATCAAATTATCCGTTTTTATATTAATCTTCCTTCAAAATCTCAAATGATGAAATTGACAGAAACAGGAATGAAGAGAAATAAAAGTTTCACAATTTTTCTGACAATCCTTTTCCTTCTTTTTTACTGGTAAATTAAACTAACATCCATTCATCCATTACTAGTAGTTTCTGTTTACAATAGATGAATTCAATAAGTGATGATATGCGTGCGATAGATTTGAATTTTAAACATTGGCGCGAAAACTGTCTTTGTTTTGTTTTAACAGACTTACACTGTTTGTTTCACAAAATTATGCTATGTTGTGATTAATATTATTCTACCATTTATTTCTTTGTTTATGTTGATGATTCTTTGGGATTTATGAAAATGTATCCCCATACACACTACATTAGTAGTCTTTATTACTTTTGTTATTATTAGTAGTAGTAGTATTATTAATATTAATATTTATGCCCATGTGTGCAATCCTACATGTCTGTGTACATCACTCCCAAAGTGTGTGAACTGTGAATAAATAGCCAATACCTACATTGAAACATGAATGTAGGCGAAGTGATTATGTGCTGTGCATGTCTGTGAATAAAATACACACAAAGAGTGTGAGAGAGAGTTAGATAGAGATGAACATTTGTTGGCATTTGTGTGTCCATATTTAGAATAGTTTTGTAAAGTGTAAAAAGCCGCCAACCATGTAGGTTTTTCGATTATGTTGTCTACGTTGAAATGCACACTGAAGTGTAAATTTCAACAAAGGCAAATGAAATAGTAATAATAATAATAGTAATACTAATAGCACAACTGTTTATTGGCGATTGGATGAATGTTTACCAAGAAAAAGCTATCGCTGAGACAGAATTATTAGCAAAGAACACACTGTCTATTTGAATGTTCTAGAGTATATAAAACCACATACTACTGATTGATTCAGATGAGTAGTCGTATACCACTCATTTTAACCAGGGCAAAGTTCTACAATAGAGTCCCAAGGGATGCGAACGCACGAGTGACCTTGAGCCGACCAATCAGGAAAAATGCCGATTTTTGCATAAAATTTTACGTATATTTACATAAAAAAAACATTAAACAGGATATTTTTCTCTAATTTGAGATAAAAAATCTCGTAATTTTGTAGAGGGGTTCCAGTTTTTAAATTGAACCAATTTCTATACATATATTCATCTAGGTGACTGAAAACAACTTCATTTTGAGATCCGTTGATCGCTCTGATTCTATTTTTCAGTCTTCCCCAGAAGCCTTCGATTGAATTGGTATGAGTACCGGTCCTGGAGTCAACGAAGTCATGGGAATGGTTGACTCGATGATGTATATATCCCAGTTGCGATAATCGGTTGTATCCTCCACATTCATCTGTGTGAATGGTGGTGCCTGGTAAGACGAGACGCTGAATAATAGGGAGGAGTGTATCAGCACTCCTATCTAGAATCAGCTCGATAAACCCTTTGCGAATCTGGGTGTCATAAATTCCTAAAACCCAAACGTTATTCGCTCTGGCACGCCCCCGATTGTACTTCTTCTTGATAAGAACGGTTTCATCGATATGGACGACTACACCCACTCCTCCCAACACCTGAGTAATAATACTATTCATCTTCCACGAGGCTAAAGCTCGACAAAATTGAAACCACTGCACAGTAGACGTCAACGTATTAGCTGTTTGAGCCGCAGTAGATCGCACCCCGGACTTTAAAACCCAGTAATTGGACAGAAACAAGATATTTATCAAAGACAGTTTCGACTTTTCAAAGAAAGTTCCTAGAAGAAAATTAATTTAGAGTGTCACTTACCAGTATGCACACTTATTCGCGTTAGAATAATGGTAAGCTTCCTCAACCATTGACTAGCATACGTTCAGGGTCATTGGAACATTTACAATCCTGGGACTCTATTCTTGTACTTCGCCTTAACCAGGAGTACTTGGGTGGTGAGAGCTGGCTGCTAGCCAAAGTTGGTAGACAGTAATTGACGTCACTGTTTATGTCCCCAATATTGGTGGTGAGAAAATGAGAACAAAGGCTTTGCGTAGGCGGATACAGTTAGCATATGGATGATCTGACACAGCCACAAAGAGATGCAAGGTTAACCTTCTGTGAGAAACAACCAATCAAAAGACTGTATTTTCTACTAACAATAATCTACAATAATGTACATCAAAATCTATAAATATGTGTTGATTTTCCTTAATAAACGATCTGTTGCCTGGCCCTTGTCTTCTGTTGTTACACTTGCTAGCTAGACTGAAGTGATCTAAACACTGGATGGTATTTTCTCTCGTCTGTAGCCGGGCTCATCAGTGGTGTACCTGGTTGAGTGGCATATCACTACTACTCATTTCAATTAATCAGTAGTACATAGTTTCACGAAAATATGACTGATCTCTTGACTACTATTTTTGGTATCGATTGGATCGATCTTATATTGTGATCTGAATAATTTCGGTCTCCGAAGGAAATTGTGGTAAAATTTCACTTCGAACTGTGTAAATTACCAATTAAAGGTTTCTCTGTGCATACAGTCAGTCACCAGAAGATTTCATCTTATTTATTATATGTATGAGTGCGATGGTTCGCCGGTGGCACAGCTCAGGTTTCGATCCCTGGCCGACTCACTTCTAAACCTCGCTAAGCCAGTAACAAGACTGGTAAAGAGGGTACATTGGGCATGAAGCTAGCAACCCCATCTCGTAAAAATTAACACCACTGTTACCGAAACTTCAAGCCTCTAGTTTGAAGCTCTATGTCCCATTGAGAAGGTAAAGGAATTTAAAAAAATAAGTGTAACAAGTAATGGTTTGTTCAAAAGTACCACGCACGTCTTTTCACCTCAAGCCTAATGTTGTCATTATTATTATTATCATGCCCTTAGACTCCAAAAGGAACATAATGCTTTAGCAGAACATTCGCATTTCATTTCGTTGTCTGTATTCCTCTTCAGCTGTCGTGATGATTGCCTGTAAGTCTTCCATTCCTCTACACACACGGTTTTGATCCATGTCACCCTCGGAATCACTCCCAACTTGTTGTTTCCCGTTAGTGCCCCACTCAAGCGATGGCCTGGTACACGATTTCACTCAGTGGTCTCATCTGTATGCATGTCCAATCCATCTCCATCTCTTTCCGCATATCTGTTAGGTGGTAGGTTGTTGGTTAGTTCGTCTCCAGAGGTCTGTGTCACTTATCCTTTCTGTCTGACCAGATGTTTGATCTCCAGCATCGGACAAAGGCAGCTTTTCTTCAGGGGAAACTAATTCAAATAACCGTTAAGTAAAAAAATATTTCAGATTTTGAATTTCATAGGGATTTAGGTTAATATCAGTCGTTCGATTCAGTCACGAATCAACGCATTAGTCAGAGAATAATTTGGGATTTTTCAGAAATGCTCACGAATGTCCGCTTCCGGTGACTGAATCAAGGACCTTCAGGTTACGAGGCGAGCTTGTTGACTATCTAGCCCCCGCAGTGGAATCAAATGATCTATGAATTCCGACTTTTATCAATTCTCACGTGATGAGGCGTCTCAGACCAGGACAAAACAGATGTTCAGTTTAAGAATTGGTAAATAAAAGTAAGTTATATTATTATTTCCTTTAATTCCTAAAGGAATATAGGGCTGCAGCTGCACGTCTCCATTGCGTCCGGTTCTTCGCCAACTTTTTCACCTGGCTCCACGTCTGCCCACATGTTTTCGTCCCCTTTTCGCATGACCTCCTCATGTCTACCTTACACTGACAACCAACTCGCCGCTTCCCGTTCGGGTTCCACTCGAGCAGTGGCCTGTCGTGTAATGTCACTTGATGGTTTGTTTTCTCAGAGTATGGCCACCAATCCACCTCAATTTCTTCCTGCAAATTTGTTGCGCAGTTGGTTCCTGCTCGGCTGGTTCGCTACTGCTGATCTTTTCTGGCCAGCCGTCTGATCTTGACTAGTATTGAGAGAAGATAGCTCTGTAGTTTGTTCGAAGAGGCCTTCGTGACACGATGCCAAGTTTCTGATTCATTTAGTAGCACTGACTTCATATTAGAGTTGAAAATCCGAATCTTATTTTTCATGCTCAGTGCTGAGTGTTGACCTCCACACAGACATGAGATTAATGAAAACTTGCCTTGCTTTCTCGATCCTCGCTGCTTTGATATCCTCATCAGTTCTGTCCGCCTGTAGTTGAAACGATGCTTCCCGGGTTGGTAAGTAAAGGAAACTGTTTCTTTCAGATTTCTCCCATTTATGCTGATTGTCGTCTGTTGTTGTTGCTGTTGGCCAGGAATCTTCATTAGCTCTGTTTTCTATTTGTTCACCTGAAGAGTTAGTTATAAGAAGTCTTGAAATAATTTTGAAAGGTAATTCAGTAAACGATTGTTCTCACTGGTTCGGACTAGTCTGTCTTCTATCTTTCCTTATGTGGGCTACGCGGGTCAGCAGTGACTGGAAATAAGTATTGGTATTCGGTTTTCAGACGAGTCACGTATAATAATAATAATAATAATAATAATAATAATAATAGTGATTTACTTTATTCCAAAAACAGTACTTGTGATACAGAATGGAATTTTCAGCATTTATCACAATAACATTGCATCTAATTTCCTCAAATTATAAACAAAATTTATCACACAGAAAATTTTTCCACATTTACAATAGGGGTAATATAAAAAAAACATGCAGCATATAAAATGGAAATAATAATAATAATGATAACAGCTAAGGTAATGATAATAATACAAGTGAAAATTGCCGTGGACTTGTTTCACACAGTATTGTCGATGCGGTATACAAATCCTTGCATGTTTAAAAATATTGAATATAATGTTCTCTTCACATGATATGGTGAGGGGAAAAACAAAGATTACAGCAGTCATAGAGATAAGTTGGTGTTTGCAGTTATGAAAGTAAAAACAAAGAATCAACAGGACCATAAATCTAATAGAAATAATAAAAGTAAAACTTGAAGGTATATAAGGATGGATAGATGGAGGAAATCGTTTATTTACTAGATGAAAAAAGGTTAGTCATTTCTTGCCTGACACTATTTTCATCACATAAAATACGTGCCAAGTATGGTATCATAGAATTTTTACACTTAGATATGCGAGCATACAGTTTTCTGAAGTTACTTCTTGTTCTACCTGAGGAGATGCAAAGTGAAAGCTGAGAGTGAAGTGGATGCTCCAAGTCAGACAAAATCCCTTAAGCAAATTTACTGCACGAAGTCAAATTCCTATCGACAACGACGTTAACTATGTAGTCCACTGGGACACCACTTGACTTCTCGTATTAAATCGTAGCCGCGTTATCATTATTATATCAAACTTCATGATGTTATCTATCTTCGAGATGACAGTGAGTCATTTTCAGTGATGTAACTTCTGTTGAAGCAAATTTATAAACTTATTGAAATC